TCTCTCTCTCCAGTACTAACCTGTGAAGTTGGCGCCTTGATGCAGGTACCTCGAAGATGGAGCTGGAGCTATGGCGCCACAGGTAAGTCTCGCTCCGCCAGCTATCACTCCCAACTCTGCTATCTACCACCTACTAGCGCCCAGCGCTGAAGACTACTGCTATGGCTACTAGCGCCCAGCGCTGAAGACTACTGCTAGCGCTAAGGTACTCCCTGCAGCGCTCCTCCTGAGTGCTGCGCTGAATCCTGAAGACTACTCGTGCCTACTGTCCAACTACCTACCCGTGAAGTGCATGGGAACTTCCTATGTACTACCGGGTGCCTCCTGACTGCAGGCGAGGCAAATAGCCTGTTCCCGAAACCCTGTTTTTGTGCCTGAGTCTTAGGTAGGTCGAACACAATGAGGGCCTGAAAATGGCCCTCCGTTTCAGGCTGAAAAGCCTCTGGGCCTGAAAGGCCCAGAAATAGGCTGAAAACGGAATAGGGCCTGCAGGCCCTCGTTTTTCAGTTTCAGGCTGAAACGACCGGGGCCTGTAAGCCCTATTTTCTAGGCTTTTAGTTTGAAAGTGCGGGACGGGCCCTGCAGGGCCCGTGTGGCTATGCAGTATGCCACAAGCGGACAGGTCGAGCCCTCCTCGCCTAAGGACTGTCCACTCTCTAAGTTTGAAAGACAACCAGTAGACTTATCACAGGGACTCTCGACTGGTCACGCTCTAGGTTTGACTTCCACAAAAAAAAAGCATGACGCTTCCCCCTGTCTATTGCGAACAGATGGCCAAAATTATGGGATGCCTCCATACTGCACGGAAAACTTAGCAATAGCGAAATGACAGGATTCCAAATTGCAAAATCACATTGAAAGCCAGATGGTCGTATGCTGTCCAGGAAGCAGAAATGCACTCATATCACGTCGAAGGAGAACCAAAGCAGCGAACCCAATTGTCAATGACAGCCCTCTCTCGCCTCCACCAACAGTGTACTTGAAGCTCTTCCTCCTACTGGAGCTCAGTGCTCAGACTACGATCATACAGCTACTACGCTAGCCTATCAAAATGACCAGGCAACCAGTTGACATCAGCAGCAGCAACCAAAGTACATGCAGATGTCGATCATGCAGACCTCCACGAGAACCAGGTACGTGCTCTCACATCATCTCCGTTTTTGCCCTCTCAATGCTCACCCTCGTCTTCACCCACAACTTCCCCTCTTCCTCCGAAGACCACCACCACCTCTGCTGACTCTCATCTCCCAGCCCGGCTATGGCTGGATACTGGCGCTGCCACTAGCAGTGCCCTTCTTCCCTCCAGCGCTCGCTTGCGCCCAGCTCCCACTCTACCAGCGGCCTTCAGCGCCCATAGTGGCAGCGCTGCCGCATGAAGAGCAAGTGTCCGAATGCCTTGCTCACGGCCAGGCACTTTGCTATATGCCAAGTGGCCTGGCCCGAAGGCTGCTTGGCCTGACCCGGTGTGTGCCCAGTAGCTTCAGGTTGGGCCAGGGTGTCTGCGCCCAGGCCTGTTCAGACAATGGCCTGGGCCCGCATCAGTTAGGTGCACCCAACCACCTCCCGTGTAGTGAGGTGTTCCCTGCATTCTGATAGGCCGAGAGGCCAGCATGTACGTCAAGTCTGGAAGAGCCTGGAAGGCTCACGGAAGATTCCGATGCTGGCAAGCGGGGCATATGCAACCAACTGGTGCATGGTAACTGTCTGGTGCCCTCCAAGGCCTGCAAAATTGCTGTATTCAGGCCTCATTAAAATTCGGGGGCCCGCCTTCACTTAGGGCGGGTACAGGCTTGCAGTAAAGGCCCCCATAAGGGCATGCCAACGGCTCAGATCCTCGCAATACGGATTACGCCATTGAATTCACACCGATGCTTGCTGTTGCATGTGACCAAGGCTCCATCCACAGTTCAAAGGCTTGAATCAGCAGAATTTTCTGACAATAAGGACGCACTTGACATCCCTCATCATCAACGCCAACCTGTAAGTCTTTCTTAAACCAACAGGTCCACCACTGCCTCCTGAGAAATCAGGTGAACCCCTGCTGGCAGGAGAAAAACTGTGGCCGTCAGATCCTCAATCCAATGTACCAACTGAAATAGGGCAGACCCCCTAGTGAACAGGGCAGCCCCTCTAGCAACCAGACCATCATAGGGGGGGATTGAGAGTAGCAGTTTTTGCAAAGACGCGCTGACAGCAACCCTCTCTCTCTCTCTCTCTCTCTCTCTCTCTCTCTCTCTCTCTCTCTCTCTCTCTCTGTGTGTGTGTGTGTGTGTGTGTGTGTGTGTGTCTGTCTCTGTGTGTGTGTGTGTCTGTGACAACAACTCGTGTTTCGCTTGCAGTAATGCAAACAAAGAGGAATGTGAAGGCATGCTGATAGCAAGCAGTAGCCGGGTCATGCTGCTTCTTTACTGATTGTTGTTTTGTTCAATCGTGCATTCGCTCCTTCTGTGATTTTATGACACAACCACCACTGTTTTTTTTGTTGGTCCGTATGTTTGTATTACTTTTGTCCGTGTTGCACTTGTTTGTTCCTTTCTTCGTCAAACAGAGAAGGCTTCTTTCATCCACAACTGGTTTTCAGGGACATGAGAAATCTCCACATTGCTCTTCTCAGTTTTATCTATCTATCAACCCTTGTGCAGCTTGTTTAAAGAACATCATAATACATACCCTGCCATCTTCCACTGAACACAACACACCATCATTTTGGCTTTACCTGACCGGAAATATAGCTTGTATAAATTCATTATCAGGGTGCCTTATGTTCAGGGGAAGACGGTAGTTCTCAAGAATCAGATCTCTGCAGGGTAGCTTGTTCATGGTACATACCCTACCATATTTACCCAAATAGAACGCACCCTCATTTTGGTTGCACCTGACTGGAAATATAGTATGTATACATTCTTTATCAGGGTGCGTTATGTTCAGGGGAAGATGGTAGTTCTCCAGAATGTGGGGCAGCTTGTCCATGGTACATACCCTACCGTCTTCACCCAAATAGAACACCTGGCCATTATCCCTGTATCTACACAGCAAGTTGCCCCAAATGCGGCTATAACGATCGAGCGATATATTCGGGTGAAGACGGTAGTTCTTCTATAACTCAGATCCCTATGGCGTAACACAGTGCTCTGACTTCAACTTCATTCAAGTTCGATTCCTGTTGCGAACACTGAACGACGACAAAGATGTCGGTTTGACTCCAACTATGTTCGTCGAGTCGTATTCACAACCAACTCCCTGATGCCATCTCAATTGCATTCCGTTCGCTGCTGTTGGCGCTGCCACTGCCACTCTATTAAAAGTTCTTCAAAACTTATGCCACAGCCACCAACTTATTTCACACTTACAGGTGTGTGATCAGCCTGTGAAATCTCACAAACTTCTAATGACTCGTAACGAATGAAAATCAATAACAGGACCACCATCTAAAGGGGGAGGGAGGAATGTGGCTGCATGTAACACCCATCAATTGTTGATTGGCAGACTCGAGTTCGAATCCTGATGGAAAATTAGATAGGAAAAGTAACTCTGAAGTAACTAGGGTAACTCTGAAGAAACTCGGGCAAGTCACCGATGACGATATCCGTCATTGTCCCATATGACACCGCCTTTTCCCTTCTTCTTCTTTTCAAAATTAAGAACGAGAAAAGGAGGAGGAGGAGGAGGAGGAGCCAGGGAAGAGCTACAAGAAAATGGAGACTTACCAGGCGCAGCGGCTTCTCTATTCTCACATTCGACACATCATGAGGCTGACCAGCAGAAATGATGATTGTATCACCCGGCCTAATACACAACAACAAGTATCGGTCAGCATGAGACCTCAAACATTTGTGATTACCTTGTTACGCAGTTGGACATATAAAAAATGCCAGGTACTCCTTTGGATGTTAGTTCCTATGCATAGTTACCGTCCTTCCTTCCCCTCTTCAATACCGCTCCGCTGCGCTGCATGGGGAAAAATTCCGTGCGTGAGCTTAGCCAAACTGGTCGTCTGATGTCGAACAGCGAAGTGTATGGACCTCCACAAATTTACTCTGTTACAGCCATTCACCATCAGATTATAAAACAAAGTGCTGCAAAGGAGATACGGGAATGGGACACTCTCAGTTGAATGTGATCCGACTTCCTTTCGTCGAAGCAAATGGGCAACCTCTCTCTCTCTCTCTCTCTCTCTCTCTCTCTCTCTCTCTCTCTCTCTCTCTCTCTCTCTCTCTCTCTCTCTCTCTCTCTCTCTCTCTCACACACACACACACACACACACACACACGAAAAAAAAAAAAACGTAAGCACAAGAGCAACAGAAAGGGCGAGAGGACAAGGACGAGAAAGAGAAGGAGAAGGAGAGGGAGTGCGGGGGAAAAGGGGGTAGAGAGGAGACAGAGAAAACAAGACATACATTGCATAAGAAGTAGCAATGGGGGAGCTGTGGAAAGAGGAGGAGAGGAGAGGGCAGGAGACGAGAGGGGGAAGGAGAAGGACGAAAAGAAGAGGAGGGAGGAGGAGAAAGGGAGGATGCTGGGGGAGGCGGGATTTGAACCTGCATTGCTTTTGAGTTGTAAGTTTTTTGGTGTTTACTGCGGCCAAGATGTGAACGCAGGACGTGTAGGTACAGATTGCCTAGACTAGAATAGTACCTTTCAGACCCGTGGAACTGGGATTTTTCATTAGGCAAGTTTGCTTGAACAAGAGAGCGGAGCAACGTTATTTTTAACGCTGATAGCACACGAGACTGGGAGAAGCAATTCCCAGACAGTTCTGGCAGTATGCCACATTCGATTCTGTTTGATGCTGTGTGATAACGGCAGCTGGGCGCCCGATGTACATGAGAAATTGTCTATTATATCGAGTATTCAAGTGTATATGATCAGTTCCAGTTTGCAATGAAGTCCCCAATCCAGTGTGTCTGGTTCCAATTAAGTGTGAGCGCATGGAATGGCTGAGAGTGATTGGAGCTTTTTTTTATCTAACGGAGGAGGGAGGTGAGAGGAGGGAGGGAAGAGGAGGAGGAGGAGGAGGGGAAGAGGAGGAGGAGGAGGAGGAGGAGGAGGAGGGGATGAGGAAAAGTAGGGGGAGGAGGAAGAGGAGAAGGAGAGGCAGGGGGGAGAAGGAGAGGCAGGGGGAAAGAGGCACAACCGGAGGAGGAGAACGAAGGAGAGAAGGAGGGAAGGCGGGGGATGGAGGAGGGGAAAGAACGAAAGGGAGAAGGATGTGGAGAGGAAGAAGGACCGCACCTTGCAGCAGCCACTGCTGCCTCGAGAGTGCCAAAAACTGGGTAGGAGGGTACGGAAGAGCAGTGCTCTACAGAGAGCCACATTCGCTGATCATTGGCTAGAGCTTGCCATCGTCGACACACACGCCCGGCATTAAACCGATCTGAATTTGGTAGAACCGAAGTACACCAATCCGACGTCCAAACGTACATTACAATCACAAAAATCGAGGTATGAATGACCCACATGCCGATAAGAATCATTCCCATGCGGATATAGGTTAGCATTCAAAGCACACCTCCTCAGCATCATCAAATCGGCAAATCATATGCGTTGTCATGATAAATCCGTTCTAACCCGCCTCTCTCTCTCTCTCTCTCTCTCTCTCTCTCTCTCTCTCTCTCTCTCTCTCTCTC